TGTATTTCATTTTTGGTTTATAAAACTCTGAAAAACACTGTATTTTGGTACAACATACATACATTGTTCTATATCGTATATTGTAACATATCCACACAACCACTTCCGCAAGAGATTGTTAATGCACAAATATGTACAGCTTTGTTCTACTGTGTTTTTGAGCGGTAAAATGACACCATATGCACAGGATGCACTTATTTATGTCATTTGGTGAAACTTAACTAATAATGAAGCAGAGCATGGACAGCATCCAGCTGAGCAAAAAAAGAAACCACAATGAGCGTTTCATTTCATCCAACTCTGAAATGCTCATCCAATCATAAAGCTGATAGGCCTATACTACGACACTCCAAACCACAGACATTCGACCACAGTCTTTCAGTCTTTACATTGGCTTTTCTATCTCTTTTGACATGGGTAAAACTGTAAACACTGAGGAATAACAATAATTATTCCTTTTACAATGTGCCTTTTGAACAAACAAAAAAACAACCACTGAAACAAGTCAAAAATGTAACCATAAACTAAACACACATTAGACTCCAAGCACTGATACAGTACAAAACATTTTCATGTCAAAAAAAAGAAGGTAAATATAAGTTTTTTAAAGAGAGAAGATGCAATCAAGCTTACAGTCGTATGCAAAAGTTTAAACACTCCTGGTAAAATGACATGTTTTGTTGATTTTCTAACGGAAAATAAGTTAAGACAAATTTATATTGAATTTTGGGAACATATAGGAATATATAATTTTTGCTCCACATTTTCCTTTCTATTTATTGCTGAGTTTATAATATTGGAAAAAATAAAACATTAAAATATTTGCCATAACTTTTGCACAGGCCACATATTTTGTTTTATTTCTTCCAATATAATAAGTTCAGCAAATAAATAGTGACTGTGCATTAAAATGTACAGGAGTGTATCATCTAAAGGAAGCATATAATTTGACCAAGAGCACCCGAACCTTGGAACATGACTGTATGAATGCTTACTGTGTAGATGCAACAAATATTCTAAAATACCAAAAAAATTGCTTTGCTAAAGATCAGTAATTTTTGTTATCTCTGACTGTTGTTCATGTTCACTTGGTTTTAGTCTGGTGACAATTCGCATTGCAGATACCAAATAAACCCCCCACAAAGACCACCAGAGAGAGTGAAAGAACGTGAAAATGCTCCAAATTACATTCAGCAACTTACAAATAATTGAGCTGTTTCATTAATGGATGTTTATAATAGTGTACGCAAACAAGTAGGCATGTACAATGACACTGGAATCATATCAGTATTGTAATAAAAAAAAAGAAAACTGTACTGGCGTCAATGACAAATTTGTTGTACTCTGAAAAAGCAGAATGTTTAGGCAACGCTGGGCTACGATGATAAAATGTCTACATTATATTCATCTTACTGCATTTGTAACTCTCTACAAAATACATTTCTCTGTAATAATGTTCACTAGTTGCCTCAGACCTTTGGACCCCACTGTACATGTTTTAAATGACTGGATATCCGGCCAGAATTCCTATATTGGTACATCTTTACAAAGAAAGAGAAAAGATCTTACGTGATCTAATTCAGTTCTCAAAAATCTATTATGGCTTTTTAACCATCCTGGATGATCATTTAAAGAGGCCTACATGCACTGTAGCTGTTTTAAACAATCTACAATACATTTCTATCAGCAAACATTATTTAAAACCCATACAGTCTAACTTCAGGGTGACAAACAGTATTACAACACAATTCCAAAAGAGTTGTTCAAATATTTTAATATAGTTAAGAATCTTTTTTAACAGTGCCTTGGCTAAGCTCCATCCCATAAATACCAAAAATACTGTCTGTTCCTGACTGTTCACTGCCTTACAAATGCTTTTGAAACAATCACATTTACTCTTAAAAGGATTGGATTTAGCACTCATGCCATTGACTGTGGCTATCTCATTGGGACTGACTCTAAATTCCTTTCTATTAGAAATAAATTTGTTCTCTAGTGTTCTACCCCAGTTGTCCTTATTTTCCACATTTGGAATAATGACCTGGAACCTGGCCCAACATTAGGCCTGTGTTTCTGCTACTAAATGTATCTGAGCTTAATCTTTGACAGCTTCAGGTTCAGTCAATGTCATTATCAACTCAGTCTGTTAACTGCTGCACAAGAAAATTTGTATCAAGACAATAAATTATGCTGCATGCTGATTGCCATCGCAATGTTTATCTCAGCAATATCCAAAAAGGCTCTATTGTAATTTGTTTTATTCAGGAGCATGGCTATTGCATCAAAATAATTCATTTCTAGGTATAGCTCAGAATGTTCTGCTTTGTGCTTCACAGTGACCAATCTCTGTTGTTCCTGATGAGTGCCCTGTGAGTACTCGGTCAGACATCACAAATAGCTGTGATTCATCAAACATGCGGTCAGTGTTTCAGGATGCACATAACTGAGGGAAGAAAGTGAAGGCAAACCTAGTTTCTTCTTTAGGCACAAATCAGGTTTCTAAACAGCTTTTAGTGATTCTTTAAATATTTCCTTAATGATTCCTTAATTATTCAAAACGCTGTCACTGCTATTATTAATAACAATTCTGTAACTGCTAATGTAACACAATTTTAAGGGTTTCACTCCGAAACACATTACAGACATTTTTCAAAATATACATTGCTGGGAGAGGGCTTTACACATACAAGAATTATCAAAGCTATATTATGATTAACACCAAGTTTTATTGGAGAGATAACATTTGTTTTTGATTATACGTTAGCTGTTATTCTTTTCAAAAACTTGTTATATGTCTATAGCAGTGACAGCATCTTGAGAGATGTGGAGGCTGCAGTGTGAGCAGTAGCAGTGGTGGTGGTGCCATTATGAATTGCTCCACATTCCTTACAACAAACTTGCAAGTTCATACCTCTTATTGGTACATTATGCCAGCCATGCTTCAGGCTGGGCCTGTCTGATCTCATAACAAGAATGTTAACCATAAAAAATCTTGGGCTAAATGTGGGTGGAATAGACTTATCAGAGTGGGAATAAACTGAGCACGAAATTTCTAAATTTCAATCTAACGCCTCGCGGTGGCAGTAGGGGGTGATGGCGCGCACGTTAACACTGTCCAACGGACAACAAGCCTTTCTTTAGCCCATGGGTGTAATGTAAGTTAGCATTAGGGATGTGCACAGGTGCTCAAGTACTCAGTTAACCATTCTAGGGGTCAGTATTCAAATACTGAAATCACTATTTAAGTATTTGTTATGTTTCATAGTGAGAAGATAGAAAATATCAGGGCAACAATTCAGTGAAACATGACAGTTTTGCTCGTATTTGCGAGTATGTTATAATTTACTGCTCTACAACACGAATGCCTGAACATTAGTGCGTTGCCAACGATGCGTTGTTAAAGATGTGGCTGAGAACATAGAGACAGCGTTTACCTTCATTCAACCTCAGTCACTGAGGACTCGCTCACGTTTTGTAGCCATTTTTTATACAATGGGAGAAATAGAAAGTGGCCAGGGTCCCCTTAAACCAGCTCTGATAATAAAACACGTTCTTCCACATGCTGCTACATTTCTGTGCAACATTAGTGCTGACACCCAATAAGGTAAACCCACAGCCCTACATTATTTTTGTCCATAGTCTTTTTTTGCTGTTGTTTTTTTCCTTCCCTGCGTTTAACTGAATATCCGTCCATTAACTTGTGCAGATACACTAATATCAAAATAAGTCGGAACGCACGTCACTAATTAGCATCGATGTGTGCCGCGAGTGAAGAGAACACATTACATGCAGTAAAAATACACATCTTGCAGGGAAATACAGTCCTGTTGGCTAACAATAGCACTGTGCATGTTAAAAGACATTAAAAGAGCATAGCCTAAAGGAATTTGGGGGCGGGTCTTAGAGGGGGTGGGCGTACTCTTATTAGTGGTCGATTTCAAACCAAAAGTTTGTATAAGTCATCCCAAGACATGTATTCTTATTACGTGATCACGCTTTGCCCCATAAGCCTATCTGCCACCAAATGTTTCCAGAGAAAGCCAGAAAAGCTGGACAGCCATATCTGCCACATTTCACTTTATCCTTGCATCACTTAAACATGCACAAGGCCTGGGATTCAAAACTGCCCTACCTATTGCACATTTTACCTGTTATTCACATGGCCATTAGTATTAGACAATGTAAGACATTTATGTTTTGGAAAAGCAATGGCTTGTTATCTATCCTTACTAAATCGAGCTCATCATAGCTTGTGCACACTATACTTTCATTAAACTCTCCCATATCTAACTGATTTTAGGAACTTAGCTTTAACTACTGGGTACACAACATCTACAATATAGTACCTAGAATTACAAGCATCTGCTGTTTATTTTAAATACAACTGTCTGCTCTTGTAACTTGCTATGGAATGTGTATGAATGTATGGTGAATGTTTTCCATTGTTTTACCTAATGACCCCTTTTGTATTCTTGAACTTATTGTTGATTGTTAGCTGTCTGTATTTCTCTGAATCAGAGCTGCCTCTTTGTGTCCTTTGAAAAGGATTTCATGTTAAAGATTAAAAAGCTTACTCTGCTGTTACAAAAACAACACCACCATTATCTGATATAACATTTACAACTCATGCACACAACAATAGCGACAGTGCAAGATTTTCACAGTAAAGAAAGTGCTTGTAAAGTCTATCCATCACCGGCTCTACTAATTACCAACAGTATGTAATCATAATGTCCCAAAAGGAGTCTAATTTACTAAAACCTTTAGAGTCTGCCAGACGCAAAACAAGGCCCCTGGCCAGTTCACATATTCCTCAACAGCTGATCAGAGTCCTTTATTTTGGAGTTCAACAGGTGCATTCTAACTGCAGCTATTACTTTAAGTAAATCTTACCCAGATTTGTTCAGATTTAAATTAAAGTCACAGCAGGGTTAGAGGGAGCAGGGGAGGAGTTCTGGAATAGTGCTCTAAAGGTGGTAGGCAGATGCAGTATGTTCCTCTCACACATACCACTCTTCTTTGGAGATAACAGAACCGTCCATCTGAGGAACCATGTCCACAGAGATCTCCACTTCGGATCCATAGTCATACAGATAACTCTGTTCATCATATCTGCATCTCTGACTATCCTCCACCGTGCTGTAGGCTTTCATCCTGTTGTCAGGGTAACCATGGAACTCCTGAACACTTTCGCCCCCATAAACTTCTGGCTTCTTCTCATCGTTTGAGTCCTCAGGATAGGTCAGGCTCTGAGGAAAAGAGGGGCATGGAGGAAGGCTGCCAGCTTTTCCGAAACCATTTCCCAGGACCTGTTTCTTGGTACTGTAATCTCCTTTGAAAGTGCGTCTCTGGCGGTGGAAGAAGACTGCCAGCAGTGTGATGGCTGCCAGGAGAACTGTGCCACACACAACAGCTCCACCAATGGCAGCGCCAGCTCGCTGCTGCTCCTGAGACATGTCGTGGGAGAAGCTAGGGAATTCTGGGTTGGGAGAGATGGACAGAACAGGATATAAACATCCCTCTGACAGGCTCATGCCCCACAGTAGGGATGGGACAGTGTAAAAATTGATATCAATGACCAAAATGATCACAGTCTTAGGGATGTCCCACTCTAATCTGGGGGTTCATAATGGGAATTGATTCAGGCACATTGAAATTGATTAAGTATTGTCTATATTACACCCAATCAAATTCTCATGCTCTGTTTCTCTGTTTGTGATCTATTTACCCTTCTAAATCAATGTGTTTGGCATATAAAATATGAGTGCATGGCTAATAAATTTGAGTCCGTTTTCTGCCACTCATATACATAATCATGAATCGGTATTAAACATACTACAAAATGATTTAAAGTGATTTAAAGGAATGGTTTCATGAAAAATCTAATTTACACAATTTTAGATGTATGTTAATGAGCTGAGATGTTTGGTTTCCAAACTTTGCTTTTTTAACTTTGCGCTACAGCTATGATGCTATTGTTGCCAATAACCACAAGAAGTCAAGAGTCACCTAAATGTTTTTTGTAAATACATCCTCAAAACTCCTCTCAAGCCACATCCAGGTCTTCTTTAAGGTTGCACATTCACATTGTAGCTAAACGCAGCATGCAGCCCTTTAGACTTAAGTACTGCCAAATTCTGACTGCTTGTTGTCGGCTCGTCATACAGATAGCACAGTTAATATCTGTGATTTCTGTTTTTTTTTTTTATTAATAACTGTTATTCTTGAATGTTCAAACTGAAGATATATGTTTATAACAGAAAAACAGAAATGGCAAACGTAACAAACTGTGAAACATGTACAAGTAAAAGGTGAGTTGGAACTCAGCACAACATCTGTTGTCAAAAATAGCTGCCTGCTGCATTTAGCTACAAAGTGAAGCTTTGTTAATTCTTAGAATTTACAGTAAGTCACACTGTGCACTAAAATGGTGCTTCTCAAGCTCCAGATTTTCTAACCTACATTGTTTAGGGAACTCCAACTTTTTAGGGATAAAGCAGAACAACGGAATGAAAACCGGTTTGAGAACAACTGCACTAAACCACATCAACAAGTCTGTGCGACCTCAATGAAGACCTGGATGTGGTTTGAAGGAGGTTTTGAGAATGTATTAACAGAAAAGATTTTAATGACTATAAAACTATTAACAATGTTTTTAAAGATTTGAATGACTATTAGTGTGTTATCAATGTCTAAAGAAGCAAAATTTGGACACCAAACATGACTTGGCTGATTGGGGTAAAGAAAATTGAATTGAAAAAATCTACCAGTTTAGTGTGTCACATTATGACCACATATTAATATTTTACATTAACTGGCATCCTAGCACATTGTAACTAAATTGTGTGGCTGTATTATGAAAATTATTTTTAGACTGGGCTCAATATCGTCCAATACTCAGCATTAAATAACTCACATAAGATTAGGGTAAAAAAACAAGCAAAATACAGCACTGGGACATCGCTTGCATGCTTTGTACGGAGACTGTAGCTGTAGGCTTTTTGCTTCCACTGTGACTTTTTAAAACAATGCTAATCACACAAATCGAAATTGTTACAACTTGAAATGGTATGATTATCATTGGATTTTATGCAGCGGTATATCCTTAAAACCAGTAACTGTCCCATCCCTACCCCAGAGTTAAATCAGATTCAGGAAATTAAAAAAAAGAACGTAAAGGAGGTAAAAGAGATGACGGTAGTAATTCTGTCAGGCATCTAACAAACACTCTTACTCAAAAGAGCAGCAGACAGGTGGCATCAAGCATCATTCCAGATATTCAAAACATTCCAGATTCTGCAGAGCACGTGCAGCATTTCCACGAAGCAAGGACATAACATCGTAACATCAGGCAAAAGGCACTTCAGCTTCAAGAACAGACAAGACAGATCATGTCAAGTAGAAGTGTTCATACAGCAAACCATGCAATACAGAGGAAGCAGAAAAGAATGAGAAGCAATTCCAGAAGGAATGGACAGAAAGTACCAGCACTAAATATTAGTTTGTGAATAATCCACAGATGATGTTTCAGAGGCAGTCCACTTGAAACAGGTTACAGGTTAGTAAAAAGGGTAAACTCAACAGCATTCTCTTAGTGATTTCACATACACAGGAATAGGCATGCCAAGCAGCTGGGCACATGCATTTACCAGTGAAAATACCAGCACTTACCTGATACAGTGACTTCTACTGATGCTGAGCCTGTTCCAATGCTGTTGGTGGCATCACAGACATATGTGCCTGCTATCTCATAAGTTACAGGACCTTTGAAGATCAGTGTATCATCACGGAGCTCCACTGAATTTGGCATGGAGCCATTCAGACTATGAGGGGAAAAAATGTTTGATTTCAAGGAGTTTCCTTCTGTTACATTATTACAAGTTAATCCACTTAAAGTATAGACTTTTTAGCTGTGTAAACAGGAATCTAACTAATCTGTGCTTAAAGAAAAAATAATTAATTACAAAAGTGCCTTTCAGTATTGTGCAAAATGCTTACATCACTTTTTAGGCACTCTAAAGCTGTTAGAAAAATGATCAGCCTTTTTGAGACCTTTTCTATCTAGACCTCAAAAACAAGTTAATAGTGCTAGAGCTGAAGCACGTAAAAATCGGCCATCCTCTGTTGTATCACTCGCTACAGAGTTCCAGACTGCCTCTAAAAGCAACATCAGCACAAGAACTGTGCATCAGGAGCTTCATGAAATGGGTTTCATGGCTGATCAGCTTCACACAAGCCTAAGGTAACTGTGTGCAATGCCAAACGATGGTGTATTGTAAAGCATGCCGCCACTAGACTCTAGAGCAGTGCTAACACGTTCTCTGGAGTGATTAATTACATTTCACTATTTGCCAGTCTGATGGATGAATCTGGGTTCGGTGGACACCAGGAAAACTACCTACCAGAATGAATAGTGCCAACAGTAAAGTTTGGTAGAGGAGGGATAATGATCTGGGGCTGTTTTTCAGGATTTGGGCTCAACCCCATAGTTCCAGTGAAGAGTAGTGTTAGTACTACAGCAAACATTTTAGACAATTATATGCTTTAGACAATTTATATGTGGCAACAGTTTGGAGGGCCCTTTCCTGTTCCAGCATGACTGTGTCCCTGAGCTGTGTTTGGTATAGAGGAACTTCAGTGGCCTACAAAAAGTCCTGACATCAACCCCAGTGAACACCTCTGAGGTAATTGGAACATTGACTGCAAGCCAGGCCTTATCATCCAACATGTGGCTGACCTCACAAACGCTCTTTTGCCTGAATGGGCAAAAATTCCCCCCAGACACACTCCAAAATCTTGTGGAAAGCCTTCCCAGAAAAGTGGAGGCTGTTATAGCCACAAAGTTGTGATGGTCAGGTGTCCAAATGCTTTTGACCATATAGTATATTTTCCTTTCTTATACAGGTCAATATATTAAAAAAAACTAAAAACCAAAAAAAAAAAAACTACTTATCATGATGCAGATTTGTTATGACAGTAGAATTACTGCTTCACACATTCTACTTCACACATCACCCGGAGTCAGAAAAATCATCCATTTATCATGCATTGCCTGATGGCAGAGTGGCAGAGTAGTAAAGTCAATCACTCTCACATGAGAGACTGAGGGTTCGACCTTGGCCCAGCTCGAATATAAGACACAGCTCCTAATGCTACATTCAATTTAGTTATGTCACTTTCGTGCTGTGAATGTGTAATATGTAATGTAATTTAATCCATTTTGTCATTACAACCCTTAACCCTATTTGTATTGCAGAAAATCATTTCATGATGATGATAAAAATATAATTTATCGGGCAGCCCTAATCAGTATTTCCACTACATTAATACCATTTCAGTTGGTGTCCTACTAAATATATTCTAAGAATGCCAAGTGTGTTATTCAAGAAGCCAGAGGTAAATTCAAAGATAGTACATATGAATCCAATCTGCATGATTTTGCTAAGTGATTCAATCTTGTTCACTCTTTTCCGTATACTTACTATCTCCACTGAAACAAAGAGATGGCAGGGTTAGCATCAGCGAGGCAGGTCAGCTGAACATTGTCTCGGTTTATGTACCAGTTTCCATCAAAGCCCTCAATGATGACCTCTGGCTCATCTGTGGACAGAAGACAAATTAGAGCACTATGGTATATTCTGAGCATTTGATAATATTTTATTTTTTTAAATTACGTTAAAAATTTTTAATCATTAAGCACTGATGATTCTGTCAGAGAGAAACTATACTCATACTCTTTGCTACTTTGTTTATTCAGCAACATGCATAAATGTCTGCTTACACTGTATGTTTAGGGTAACGCTGTCTGTGTACTGTTCATCATTGTAGGTGGAGATACAGGTGAGCCGCTGCTGATGCGTTTCTCGACTAGGCACCACTATGTAGTCACTACGCACTGTGATCGTTCCATCAATATTACGAATCTCCTCAGTGTTTGCTTCACCATTTAACTCAGTGTCCCACGTGATCACACTGGGTGGCTTCCCATTGGCTGAGATACATGTGGCCACAGTCATTTTCAGGTCTTTAGATCCTGCCACTATTGTGGGTGTGGACAGACTCATCTGGACCATTGGTCGAGCTGCAGGTCAGAAAATAACAGACAACACATCAATATCAACACTCTTTCAGAAATGAACTGTTAAAACTAAGAAATTTATATGGTACTACTACTTTTTTCAATTATTTTTAAAATTTTGATTGGTATTGGTTAGAAAATGAAAAGCACTGTTCTGCAGGGTATCATTTAGTAAAAAAAAAAAGATTTTCCAGAACTAATGGACAAATAGAAAAAAATCTTCTAAATGTGCAATGTTTCCAGTTAAATCTTCTCCCTCCCCTGAATCTTGGCTCCTTAATCCCCAAAATGTAACACATAGCCAAGAAACAGCAAGCTGTCTGTGTTCCAAAATTGTGTTGTGAGCAAAACATCATGGAGTCAGGTCAGCCGTGTCAACGGTTCAGAAACGTATCCAGATTATTCTTGGCTGAACCACTTGAGTTCTACATGTCTCCACAAAGAAAATACCAATGTATACAGCTCACAAATCTGCCACTTTGACTCTCTGATTAAACCTGACTTATGTATTATGTACTGGCATATTACACTGGTTAGTGGCTGTCATAATCAATGAATGGTTTATTGTTAGAATAATTAGATCCATGTTACATAAATCATGTACTCATCCCCAAAATAACGGACAATGGGCTACTAATCAAACACAGGAGTCTTATAGCCTTTTCTGAAGCAATGCTGAAATTCAACTTTTTCATGAGAGCAGCTTCTTTTCTAACTAATAACATGTTTGTCCTTTTTCACTACTGCCTGAAGCATCTCTCCAATAGTTTACATAATTTTCTCTGTACTGCAGATCACCCACTAAGAAGTAAATCCGATCAGATCCATGCTAAAGTTTTACTAGTTTGAGGAATATGCTGGAGCCTACCATAAACAGTGAGGTTGACCATGCTCTCTCTGTTGCCAGCAGGGAAGGTGGTATACTCGCAGATGTATGCAGCCTCATCGGACAGTCTCAGGTTATTGAAGATGATAGTGGTGTCCTCCAGGGAAGGAGTTCTTTGGCGCACTGCCGGGTTCTTGAATCTCACACGCTCTTTGAAAGGCGGCAGCACAGACACACCCAGGGCAGGGTTGGCAATGGCCACGTTCTGCTTGGTTCCATTGAGGAACTTCTGCCAAGTGACCTGGGAGATCTTTACAGGTGGGTTACTGTTGACAAACTCGCAGCGCAGCTCCACCTGTGAGCCCACATAGCCTGACCTGTCACTGTCCATCTTCACCATCTGACCACTGCCAACTGAGGAAGAAAAGTAAAGGAGACAGTCAGCAGCCATTTAATCAAACCTGGAGGTACACTGCAGTTCAAAAGTCTGGCATTCATATATACATATTTAAAAATATTCAGTTTTTGACATAATTTGAAAATGCCCTTCACATTGTCTGTAAATTACATGATGAATGGACCAAAAGAAATGGGCCAAAATGTCTTGGAAAAAGTGACTTTACATTAAAAGTAAGGTACGTTTTTTCCTTCTCCTGTAAAGTTATCATTTTGGAGATACAAGGTTTTGTTCCGACAGTAGCGATATTGTAATGGTGCTTAAATTTTGCACCTTTGCAAGTTCACAGGTTTCAGATAATTGGTTGGAATTTAAATCAACTTCTGCCCTGTTCCACTTTCAACAGTGTACACTGCGTTATTGTAAGTTATCGTTGTATATGAAATTACAAAAACTCTAGGTTAAAACTATGTTATAACTTGAAACATGGGTTTCTTCATAAAAAAGCACAAATATTACAGGGCTGCCATGAGGAGAGGTCTGGAAATCATTAAACATGTTGGCCTATGTAAAATCATTATTGTATTACATTTGACTGCTTACAGCCATTTAAAAAATATCTTGTTCAAATATCTGAAATCCTCAGCAACTGCAGATGATAATGATATTAACATTTTTTCTAGTTCTCTCGTTGCCTTTGTTGTCACAATACAGGTACCACCGTGAAGGTCCTTCACCTGTGGATACTATACTGCAAATCTGTCTGTCTAAAAATAGGAGGGTTTAAGAGCTTCCGGCACAATAAGATACTGAAAGGGACTCCTCCAGCCAATAATCTGCTATTCAGATCCGTGAAGGGCGACTGTAAACACAGTCTTGTGCTTACCTGTGTGATTGCACGTATGTCTGCTAATGCCAATGGTGGACAGTGATTGGTAAACAACAGACAGGGGAACCAATCACTAACCAAAAATAAGACAGTGCTGAGTGCTGAGTGGAGGCAAAGTCTCTTATATAACCTTAATGCTAGATTGTTCTCTCTCTTTTTTTGACATCCATTTGGAGTTGGAAAGGCTGAGATAAGTCAGTATGCCACGCACTATTTATCTGCCTTAAGCGATGACAAACTGAATAAAAGGCTTTTCATTTCAGCTATCAGCATTTTTTTGGTTTGTCTGTGAGACTACAAAAGTGAAGCTACTGAAGAGCTGAGGTCATGTGTCAAAAATGCTTTTCATCTTATTTTTTATCATAAGGAAATAAATTCTAAATAACACCACTTTAAAACAGACTGTAAAATAAATGCTTGCATTGCCTACAAGCCACATAGTTCTTTCAGCATAAGGAGAAAGTAGTAAAATCATTTTTTTTAAAATCTGAGGGGATTAGATGTAAGACGACTCACTTGCATAAGAAAGGGAAAAGTCAAAGGAAAATAAGTGAAAAAGGTAGGAGGATGCAAAACTGGATCAAAAACATAAAGAAAATGTGCAAGACCTGGTAGACCACCAAAACTGTCACTATAAGAACAATACCTAACGCTTTCATCTTAAGAGAAAATAAGAGAAAATCAGAGATAAAGGAGAAAAAAAACCTGAAAAACCACAAGTGTTTCTATCCATCCTTCCACTGTGAGAAGACATTTTATCAGATCCACTTACTATATAGGTGCACTTTGTAGTTCTACAGTTACACACTGTAGTCCATCTGTTTCTCTGCATACTTTGTTAGCCCCCTTTTACCCTGTTCTTCAGTGGTCAGGACCCTCACAGAACAGGTACTATTTGGGTGGTGGATCATTCTCAGCACTGCAGTAACACTGACGTGGTGGTGGTGTGTTAGTGTGTGTTGTGCTGGTGCGAGTGGATCAGACACAGCAGTGCTGCTGGAGTTTTTAAAAACCTCAGTGTCGCTGCTGGACTGAGAATAATCCACCAACCAAAAATATCAAGCCAACAGCATCCTGTGGGCAGCGTCCTGTGACCACTGAGGATGAACTAGAGGATGACCAACACAAACTGTGCAGCAGCAGATGAGCTACCGTCAACCAACTTCTAAGGCTAAACTTTGGAAGTGTTCACTAGAGTCTGTCACTCTAAATATCTAAAAATATATATATTTATCTAATATTTACTTGGTATAATTTTCTGTCAAATGTGTTCTGCCTTTTTCCTGAAGCTGAAAAATGACTGAAAACTAAATAAATGAAAAAGTGGTCTCTAACTTTTGCACCGTATTGTATTTGAAAAGAAAGACAACGCTAAACTATAAAACAAAATCCAAAAAGGCCAAATCCAGAGTTAATAGCAAAATGAATAACCTTTCCAAATTCAAATACTGTCCTTTAATAACACTCCAGTCTATCTGATATCTGGGACAGGTGTTTAATAATGTTAAATTATGTTCTTAAATCTGTGGGTCCTGCAGGCTGACCCTTCACAGAATAAAAGTTCAAATGTATAGGCTACTAAATAAATGAGTTGCACTGGCAGGCCTTTAGAAGGCGGTCGTCCTACATTAGAGCAGACAGTGGGGTGCAGGCTGGCTTTTCCAGGCTTGATGGCTGCTTCTAAGTGGACACATAAATACAGCAAAGCTGTGTTGAAACGGGGGGGCCCACCACCACACACACAGAAGCTTGAGGGCGTTGGCCACTGCAGCAGATTACAGCACTCAGTCAGGATATTAAGGTCCAGGATGGCATCCAACTGCGTGGGAGAGGACATCAGGCCTTTGCCCTCTGCCTGCTGGTGCAGTAATACCTGAGCCATTACAAACAGTTCATTGGCTATAAGTACAGCACAGCTGAACTGGCAAAGGCCAGTATGAAGACATAGGCTAATACAGAGTATGCAATGTTAAGGTGGGACCACCAGCCAGAAACTGATTACAAATTCAGGTATCATAACCTGATTTTCCCTAGGGTAGAGGTCTCAAATCCACGGTCTTGTCTGTAATTTTGTCCTGGTAGGTATGACACCAGGTGGCCAATCAGTTACAACAATAGCTCAGTTGACTACCAGTGAAAACAAAACCCAAGACCAGACACTGGGCTCAAGGTCAGGAATTGAGCTGCAGTTCCACAATTACGGACTGTGCTGGGTAGTGTTTCCCCTGCTCTAACACACCTGCTTGATATTTAGCTGGAGAGTTATTAAATTGTGCACTGACCTGGCTGGCCCACCAGATCACCTTTATCCTTAACCTTATTTAAAAGATAATGCATGTATGGTATCTCCCTAAGACCTCCCTTGAGCTCCCTTAAAGCAAGGTGACACTCTCAGATAGGGCAGGACAGAATACACTTTTAAATGCTTCATCTCTAAAGTAAATTTTTTGCTGATGATTAATTGACATATAAACAATAAAGAAAGACGTTAAAGTTATAAAAGATAATGAAGTACAAGCCTAAAATGGCCAAATTGTCTGATAAGCTATCTTGTTTCTCAGCTGTCGATACGTACACCCAACTGACGACAGACACAGCTCGAACTCAGAAAAACAAACATAACTAATGTTATATGACCAAGTCAAAGGTCAGAACGTTTGATGCTTTTGCAAGACCTATGCATGGTGTCTCAATAAGTGTTTTTTGCATAAATTATTGCATTTATAATCAATTATTACTATTATAGTTATATGCAATAACTGAGATCCGCCTAGTGCCTATTTTTGATGTGCGTTTCATAGCCTTGGCTTATCAAAAACATGAAATTTTAGAAGACAACCCATGGTCATATAAGTAACTGCTATTAAAAATTCAATCATCATTTTAGTTTACTGTAAGCAACTATTGAAGTACAAGCCTACAGTGCTAAATTGGCTGATTAGCTATTTTGCTTTCTAACTGTCAATACATAGTAGCTCCTAACAGCTTAAAATGAACAAACACAATTTACTGCTGCCCTCTAAAGGTATTTTGGCACCAGTCAGAAGTTAGAACTTTTGTTGTTTTCATAAGACCCATTTCGTGCCTCAATGCAGTTTCTGGTTTCTTTTATTTCACACACGTGCCTCAACCCATCCGATAAAAGCAGACCCAATTCACATCCTGCTTGCAACTTTAACATACAATTGTGAACGCTAATGTATGTGGAAAATTACTGTGGTCAGCACAGATACATTTAATTAAAATCAGCTCAAATAAATGAGATCAGATGACGTTACATTCAATGTAATAATGGTGACAGGTCTAGCAGTGTCTACTGGTGGCAAAAACTGAGCCACAGATGCAAGTGACTAAAATCACTCTATAGTCCAATGTGGAATATGTGGATATGTGGAATAATACAGATAAAACAACATTGTGTCAGGCTGATGATAGACCTATATTTCAACAGTGCTTCCCCACTGGGCCATTCATTATGCACTACTACTAAATTATTACCATTAGCCAAGAATTCGCTTGGAATCTGATTGCTTTGGCAAATACCAACCGATTCACAACACCTTATAATCAGCTATGAACACAGCTTGATTTAAGGGGAAATGCAAGGGGATGTCACCCCTTAGTTACCGAAAAAAAAAAAAAGATTTCAGAGTGGCATTGAGTAGTGCAGAAGCTAATATGTTAAGATCATGCATGTTTGTTCATTTCATCTACAATATTTTAATGCATGAGAGGCCATTCATATTTAACAGAAGTAAAAAACCTTCAAATCAACTCTTCCTTAAAGGGAGAGGATACATACTGACAAGCAAGGCTATTCCAGTTTTAGTAGCATTTGAATGTATCTTACGCTCAGCCAAGTTTACTTAATTTTGTATAAAAGAAAGTTACTTACTAAAAATTATTCCCCCTTGGAAAATCATACCCCTTCCATCCCCTTTGGATTAATGACTTAGACTATTACCATGACATAAGCAAAATGAGATATAACCCAATGTATCTATTATAAATATCTCAATTTCATCCATATTTGAGATTTACACTCCAACTTACACTGCACTTACATGTTATTAGAAGCTTTTCATGTCAAGTTACAATTGCTTCTAATGTAGAAAGCTTAAACTTTAC